GAAGCTCAGAAATTAAGTGAAATCTTCCTAGGTTTAAGTACAGAAATCAAGCTAGAAAAAAGAAAACTTTATATACAGAAGCTAACATGTTCAAGTCTGTTAGCAGAAGCCAAAGCTCTTTTAGAATCAGTATCAAAAGCAAACAAAGCTATCTGCTGGTTTACTGAAATTTTTTGATTAAACTTTTTTGAAAGACTTTGGAAATCTTGTTGCGAAGTTTTCCTAGAGTGGGAAAAAAGAAACAATATCGATTCTAAAAAAAAGAGGAAGAAATAAAAATATAAAGACTAATTCAAGCAGGAGAGGTATTAAGCAAGAAAAGAAAACCAAAATCCTGTGGAAAAGGAGGCTATCAAATCACCTAATGCTAAAGAGAAAAGGATTCAGAAAGAAGCTAAAAATAGAATTGATAAGTGGATTACAGAGGGTATAAAAGAAAGTTGGTTAAGTTTCAAAAATAATTAAATAGGTATTCTTGATTTAGGTGCATAGTAGCCTTCTGGAGATCCTTAGAATATGACCCTGCTTAGGTATTCTTTTTTTCGGGGAAAAAAATTTACTATTGCAGCAGATCGTACCTGGGCACTTTAGACAGCTGAGTGAGTCCTAAATTATATAAAGAGGACATTTTTATAGTTAAATTAGTTTAGCTTATATTTTTGTTGTAACATTTTATATATTTTCTCTTAATAAATGATGAGCAAGATCGCCTAAGTAAAAAAAAAAAAAAAAAAAAAAAAAAAAAAATATCATGCAAATTTAATTAATTAGTTTTTATAACTCAGTTAGCTTTTTTATAAAATTTTATATATAAAGATTTATAAAAATTTTATAAAATTTTTATAAATTATTATATATAAAATTTTAAAAAAAAGTTAACAAAAGATCTACACACACTCTCTTTTAATCACATAAAGATAGACCTGAAAGTATACAACTTTTACAAAATATTTGATACTAAAGAATCTAATATTATTTTTTCAACAGAACTCAAGCTTTAGCCTAAGTACCAAAGAAATATAAACTTTAGTATTTTGAAAATATAAGAAACAAAAAAATTATGCTTCCAGCTAGCTCATAAGTAAAGAATAACAATAAATAAAAATTCAACACAATAGCAAATATATCTAAAAAGAATACTAATACTAATAACTTGAAGCAATAAAAACTTCTAAATAATCTTTCCACTTGGGATAAACAAGTAACTCAAGAACTTGAAAGAGAAAAAACAAATTTACTATAAGAAATAAAAGAAAACAGTGATAACTAAAACAAAACAACTAAAGAAAAAATATGTGATTCTCTGCAAAATAATTTAGATGTGATTAAAACAACAAATACATGTATTATATCAATAAATAAACCCCTTATAGAAACTTATATAAATGCTTCAAGCTTTTAGGTAAACTAAAAGAAATCTTGGTCTAGTTTATTTGCTAAGGTTAAAAGAGGTCAATCTACTTTTACCTCATACTCCCCTAGGAGTACTATTAGATCTAAGAATGATAATATCTTAGTTCTAGATATCAGTAGTTTAAACTGCTCTTTGAATGATATCATGGTCTCTCTTTACAAGAACGTAAGAAGTGATATAGTTGCAGCTAAGCCTCATATTAACAGAGGAATCTGTACTCATTTAGAAATTATCTTTACTAACAAAGAAAATTACAAGATTATGCAGTTAAAGGAGTAGAAATCTTTAACAAAATATATCTTAGTTCTATTTCTACAGACAACAAAAGATCATTTCTTCAAGTCAAAATCAAAATATACCTCTATTAGATAAGAAGCTAGTTTCTGAAGCTATCGAGGAAGCCTTCGAGGATATAGAAAAATTGTATCTATTAAACTACTCTTAATCAAAAGTATTCCTACCTAATTGACTAATGAGTTATTATTTTCAACACTATTAATAATCAGATCTAGAAAGGAGAATCTCTCACTTTTAACCTTCATTATCACAAAAGAAGCAGATTTTAGAAGCTAATTTCTATTCTAAAGTAATCTTGTTTTCAAGCAAAATGTATATCAAAAGGGACTGCGAGCAATATAAAGAAGCAATAGTACTTAAACATTAATTTAAAGAGTATCAGAATAACAAAAACAAAGAAAAAACTCTAGAGCTTGCTTTAAACTCTTTAGAAGAAAAAGCAATATTGGTCACTTCTTTATCACAAGAAATAAATATAGATGAAACTTCAAAAGACAAATCTATAGAAGATCAAAAGAAAGCCTTGATAGCTAATAAAAATAATAATCTGACTAATGAATTAGAAGAAACAGAGCTTACAGCTTCAACTTCTGTATATACAAATATAGAGAAAACTCTAGAAATTCAAAAGACAATTGCTATAGAAAACACTAACCAAGAACTAGTACAAGACAAAGCTTTATCTATGATTATTATTAATAATAATAATCACAAGCTTCAAAAAATTAATTATACTGAAGGAGAATATATAGTTATTACAAACAAGAAAAAAAAAGATAAAAAGAAAGTATCTGTATAAAATAAGAGGAAACTCAAACTACTTCTTATAAGAAAAAAACTTGTAATGAGAACTAGAATATGCAAATCTAAAAACTATATCTTATATCAACCTCTATAATTAATAATTTAAAGTTAAAAATTGCAACTCTTAATATTAGAAGACTAAACAATCAACAGAAATAAAGAAATATACTTATTCTTTTTAAATTTTATAACTTAGACATTATTATACTTTAAGAAACAAACCTTAATAACAAAGATACACAAATTTTCTTATAACAATAATAGGTTTTTGACTTAATATAGTCAAACAAAACAGCAATTTTAGTAGACA